GTTCTATGTAATGCTGCTGATAATGAATAACAATGATAACCGTGTCACCGTGTTAAAACAACAAACAAAAAATAACAATAACTGTTATTTTTTCTTCCAAGTAACAGCTTGTTCCTGTTACAGTAGTAATAACTGTTATAAATCACTGTTACTGTTATTATTTGCCATCACTAGGCCAGACGCCTATCCATCACTTAGAGCATTAACACTCTACAACCTCATAAGTTTCAACTATCATTTTCCTGCGCCACAGTACGTATAATTTTATCTTATATTATACTTTCCAAAATTAGTGATGTTGAAATGTAACTGTCACTGATACTTTTCACAGCGATTCGTGAGGTAATAATAATAATAATAATAGTGTATAAAAGAATGGCGGTTTGAAGAACACACTGTTACTATTTTAATAGTTTACCTTCGAGATATTGTGAGTAAAGGGGTGGAAAAAAATTTGATTCAATAAAAAAGTAGCTGCAACTGTAAACCTACCGCTATAACCTACGTACTTATTTCCCCAATAGCACGGGTTAGTAGCATGCAATCACTGTTTTTTACTCTTTAGTAACATTTTCACACTGCAAAGTATGTTTTATTATTGTTTGATGTTCGGAACAAACAACCTAAGTCAAAAATGGTTATTGCATATTATAGCAACTTTAGTAGACCCTTTTGTCTGAATGTATGATTAATATGTATATTGTTGTATTGAAAATGAAACATTTAAAAAATATCCTTTGGTCGGTAAATAAAATATGGAAACATTATTATTTTTCTTAGTTTTAATATCTAAACGATGTGTCATATACAAATTAAAAAGATGTTAAGACAATACATATAATTAAATTACATTGATGCCATACAGATGTCAGATATATAAATTATCCCACAAGTATCATTACTATGGAATCATAAAAAGTAACTCAAGATTTGACAATATTTTTTGAACAAGACACGTTTGTACAAAGAATTACAAAAAAAAAAAATGATGGTGAGACGACTTCGGTATTAGTGGTTTTTCAGAAATTGGGACCCCGTATGGTGATGATATCTTTATCTCGGCAGTAATCGTTGACGGCAACAGATGATATTTAGATAAATGATATAGACGGGAAAACATTTGTATTAGCCGCCGTCTCGAGTTAGAATTCTAGACAAATCTATCGCCGACAGGGCGGCGGTTTTGTTATATTTTAGTGGCCCTGAAAAGGGCCTTTTTAATTAGGATGTGTGTGTGTGTGTGTACGTGAGCAGTTAGCCTCCGAAACCATACAGGGTACGGCCTTGTCGCTTCAGTGCGTATACGACGTCCATGGCAGTGACGGTTTTCCTCTTGGCGTGCTCGGTGTATGTGACGGCGTCACGAATCACGTTTTCCAAGAAAACTTTGAGGACTCCACGGGTCTCTTCGTAGATCAAACCAGAAATACGTTTAACACCGCCACGGCGGGCCAACCGACGAATGGCAGGCTTGGTGATTCCCTGGATGTTATCACGGAGCACTTTTCAATGACGTTTAGCTCCTCCTTTTCCAAGTCCTTTACCTCCTTTGCCGCGTCCTGTCATTTTCGTATGAGTGCTGTAGGTTACTGTTTGGTACTGTGAAACTGCTGCTTCGAACGCTGAACGTTGACTGATAGCACACCGCCAGTTATCGTTGTATTTATACATTTCTCCGCGCGCGCACGGCCAATCGGAATGCTCGACCATATTTCTCCCACTCTTGACCTAACCACCGCACACCGGCCAATGGAAGAGACGGATATGGTATCAATTTGTGTATAAATACCGGTGAGATAAATCTTGTCGGACATCCATAGTTCATAACAGTTATCAGTTTTGTCAGTTTCAAACAGTCGAAATGGCACGTACCAAGCAAACAGCCCGCAAGTCTACCGGCGGAAAGGCGCCCAGGAAACAGTTGGCCACCAAAGCCGCACGAAAGAGCGCACCAGCCACCGGAGGAGTGAAGAAGCCACATCGTTACCGTCCGGGAACCGTCGCTCTCCGTGAAATCCGTCGTTACCAGAAGAGCACGGAACTGTT